TGCGAGCATCTCGGCTCGTCGACTCCCCGGTTGTGATCATCGATGCTCTCGACGAATGCAAGGACATAGAAGACCTTCTCCCTCACCTTGTGCGACTTGTGGAGGAGGGCGACATTCGGCTATTCGTCACCAGCAGGAAGGAACAAGCTATTGTCGATTCCTTTCGGGGTCAACCCTGCCTTTCGCTCAATGACACTGGTGAATTCGTCCAAGAAGACATGCGAACGCACATCCGCAAGGAGCTGAGCACACGGCCGAAGCTATCGCGCCTTTCCCCCGATCTCAAGGAAGATATCTCGTCGATTCTTCTAGCGAAGGCCGATGGCATGTAAGGCTGTTCTCAGCTCGTTAATACAATTGCGACCCTCTAACCTCGCCGAGTCCCCTAGGTTTCGCTGGGTTCAGTGTCAGCTTGACGCCATTCTTGCCTGCCGAACCGTTAAGGGCATTCGTGATGCTCTCGGTAACCTGCCTCGGGGATTGTATGAGACATACGACAGAATATTACTCGGAATCGAAGAAAAAGAATCGGAAGACTCCAGAATTGCACAGCAATCCCTGGTCTGGCTTGTCGGCGCGGTCACACCACTGACGCTCTCTCAGCTTGCCGAAGCGCTCAAGATTGAGTACGACAGCCCATATCTGAATGATGAACTAGGTGTCATCAACCCGAGCGACATCCTCGACGTGTGCGGAAGCTTGGTTGATTACAATACAGCCACAGACATCGTGGTCCTATCCCATTACAGCGTGCAGGTAAGGTGGTTGTCCCGCCAATGGTACAGTTGACGTACGAGTTCTCAGGAGTACCTCACGCTCGAGCACATACGTATCCAGGCTTTACTCCCATACCGAATTTCGCTGCCAAATGCCCACGTCCAACTCGCCATCCTTTCCATCACTTATATATTGTGCGAGGACTTATACACCGTGGCCGCTGACGACGGGGGGCTCCAAGATGATGGTGATGATGATGATGATGATGACGACGACGATGCGATACCGACCCATTTGAACACCATGGGACCTGCTGTTCGCCGCCACCCAATGCTGCTTTACGCCGTCCACCACGGCTTGGAGCACCTCGGATATATCAACCAGGAGGACGAGAATGTCTTCAGGTGCCTTGAGGCTCTACAAGTCAAAGTTTTCAAAGACCGGGGCAAGTCCCTTGATAAAATCCTCCCTTCTGCAGCGTGGTACAGCGTGAGGCGCCGTTGGCTCGATGAGGGCCATCACTCTCCGCTGTGGATTCCCCTCTGCTTCGGAACGCCGTGGATGGTGAACCGGGTCTTGCGGCAGAACCCAGACCTTCTCGAGACGGAGATCGGAGGGGACTGGGGTACCCCGTTGGTCATCGCCATCTGGGCCAACAGGACCGACATCGCCGATTTCCTACTGGACAAGGGGACAGATATCGATAAACCCCTGCGGATCATCTCAACCGTCCAGAGCCCTCTAGCCTGGGCGGCTTTTTACGACCTTGACGAACTCGTGGACCTGTTCCTGCGCCGAGGCGCACGCCTGGACCCCGACATCCTCCACTCCGCGCTCTCTCGCATTCACGACCACAACTCCGTCTATGTCGTACGCAAGCTCCTCGAGCACGGCGCGGACGTCACAGTTAGAGTCTACGGTGACACGCCCCTGCACGTGCAACTTCAAGGCGCGATACGCGGAGACGACTACTGCCTGGAGATGGTCCGTGTTCTCGTCGAAGGCGGGTGCGACGTCGGGGCACAGAACTCGAAGGGCCGCACTGCGCTGCAAATCGCTCTTAATTGTCGCTACTCCTCCATCGTGGAGTATCTCCTCTCGAAAGGAGCGCAGTTCGCGGATGCGCGGCACATTTACTTCGACAACGTGGGCTGGGCTGCAGATGAGCCGTGGTATCCCGCTCTGGTAGAGGCGGCGAAGACAGCGCAGACGTATCGCACTACGTCCACTTACGACGTCTGTAAGGTAAAGTATATCTTGCAAACACGATTATCATTGCCTGGGGGAGTTGCCAAGCATATCCTGGAGCTAGCAGAATACTGGGCATGCGCGAGCACTACTTGTAATAACATTCAGCCAAGGGTCCCTACTGAGGATGCACAGGACGAACCAGACCTGTCCGTTCGGGTCCCAGGGCTTTCAAGTGCGTGCGTGCGTAGAATTGCCTTCTCGTGGAGCTATGTGCGACCTGAGAGTACGCAATCTCTTCTCTCAATGACATTTCGTGTACTTAATGCAAGTATTGCCGCCAACAGAAGCCGCCACCGATTTCGGTTGGTTTGGTGCAGTGCTCTCGCATCAAGATGGCACCGATTCTGAACAGGAGATGCCTTGGGTGACATGCCCCCACATCGCCGAGATCAACCTCGATGTCCTCAACGATGTATGGGATAGTCGGGTCCCGCGGGCGCGCGAGGTACTGGAACAACTTCGGCCTGGTGACGTCTTGAAATTCCGTGCGCATCGATCTGCCCAAGTAGAGAATGATGAGACTGATTCCACCAACTTACCACGCAAACTTTATCGATTCTTCCGAGTCGACTTGTATCACGCGTGTTGGTAGCCAGTGTCATAATAGAGAAGTACTTCATCATTTTTCAGCTGCGTTCCCGGGATGTTGTTCTACAGGGAGTGTTATCACCCATTCATCGTATGGAACAGCGTGCATTGTATCAGTGTTTTACCGGGCAATATATATCCGCTCTAATATACCATAACAACGTCCAACGCGTCCTACGCCCGTCATGTAGCGAATATCCCGATGATCTTGAACGACGGCACGCCTTGCCCCTCTTCTCCTAAGAGCAGACACTCGACATAATGTGCTCCTCGCGTGACGAAATGGTCAATGACATGAAGTCTGCAAAGAAGGAGGCAACTTCAGATTCAAGCGTCACCCACAGCAACGACGGCAGCACATACGTTGGGATAGGATCATTAATATCCGCGGCATTTTCAATAATCTTCGCTCCCCCGTAGTTATCGTCCACCCAGCACTCAACCGAGCTGCCCTCTCCAACATCTCTTATCGGTTCCCGTAAATAGTATATCCCAACATCCCCTGCCCCCACCTTAATCGGCACCCTCAGCTTGCTCAGCGGAAGCGTACTATGCCAATAATATCCCGCAGTAAGCAGCGGCGACGACCCCGACGGCGGGTGCGCCGCAACCCACCCCGAGCCGTAGAACAAAGACGGCGGTACGGGGTTCACAAGGTCGTTCGCAGACGCACAGAATGGCGTGATCTCTTCAAAGGGCCGCGCAGCGCGTGGCTGCGTCCCAATCCGCACGGGCGGTATGCGCAGCTCGGGGTAGATAGGGACCGGGTGTGTCTCAGGTGTAGGCGGCTGCACCGGCGGCTTCTTCCCGCCTGCGACGTCATGCGGTTTCGGTGGCTCGGGGACGGCTGCGCCCTTCCGCGCGCCAATTCCGCCGAAGAGGTGCGTGTCGCCGGCCGCGCCGGGGGCGAGCATGATGGGAAGCGTTTCATAGGAGTGACCGCCTGCTGTTGCCCAAGCCGCGCAGATCTGGGACTGGAAGTACGAGACGAGAACGTCGGAGAGGAGTTCGTGGCCGGCGCTGTTGGCAAGCATCGCATCGGCGAAATAGGGTTTGATTAAATCTGGGTTGGACATGTAGGAGGGGTAGAGTATGGGCTTTACGCTAAGGATAAAGATTAGTCTGGGAGACGCGAGCACCCTCAATAGCCACCTTACCTGATGTGGGGCACGTCGTAGAACTGCGCAACGATGTTGTGCCAGTGGTCTGGGCCCGCGAAGCCGTACGCTTGGTGTATCTGTGCACTGAAATGGCCGAGGATGACAACAGCTGGCTGGTCGGGGCGATCCAGTAGGGACCGCACGAGTAATTCAAAGTTTTCCAACGCTCGTTGATCGCTTCAAAATAAGATGTCAGTTCAGCCCGTGACAAATATTACAGGATGCAGCAACGAAATGAGGGTAAGCTAGACTTGACACGTACGGCTCGTCATCGACATCAAATTCCAGAATTATGAGGTCGGTGTAGTCGGGGACGTGGTGTGCGCTGCAGTACCCGAAGTAACCAGAGTTCGTGCGCCGCATGGCGCCGTTGGTCAACTCCGAGGCAGGATGGGGGAACACGCTTGACCACCATTGGAAAAAACGCGAGGGGTAGCAGGTGGGGGAAAGGGGGTCATCCCCAGCACCATGGCACGCAGAGACTAGTAGAGGGAAGTGAGGAAGCGGTTATAGGTCAGTTTTAAGCCATTCACAAGATTCGGAGCGGGTATCCCCCGAACGAATGCCGGCACTGTAGGGAAAGTAGCGGACTTACTTGAGCCTCCTAACACACTCATTATCACAGGTTGGCCTAGCATGGCTTTATGAATGACACGATGCACCCTCCCTCCGCTGCCCAGATAGACTCTGCTCTGCGAAAGCGGCAGCACGCCGTACTTCTCGGCGATCTCGTCTCCAGGTCCAAAGATTGGGCAAAATGCAAAAGGATTTTGCTCTGTCGTCGACGTGTTACTGGTAAAGTAGTTGGCCTCGTGTAGATAGTTTTTCGGTTCTAAGCCCACTGTGGTGAACGAGCCGAGTCGGGGTGGGGCTTGTGGGGAAGGCAGGACGTAGCGCGTAAGGCCGACGATGCATACGAAGGCGAATACGATGGCCCATATTCGGTTTGTGACCCCGAAAGATTTGTGGTTCCACCGCGAGCGTTTGGAGATATCTGACCCCATAGTAGTCAAACGGTGCTGAACGGGAGGCGAGATGTGAGCCAGTCCCTTGCCCAAAGCCGAGCGTCGTTGCATGTACAACAGCCAAGTCACAAGAAAGAAACGGCGCCCTTTTGCGCCCAAGGGGAGAGGGTGAAAAAACCGACGAAAAATGAGAAGATAAGTAGCGCTACCAAGCAAGGTCCTAATTACCCGCTGTAATGAATCGAGACCAACGTCGACAAGCAAAAGCGCTCATCACGTGGCAGTCACACAGGAGAGATGGTGCGAGGAGCAAAAAGTATGGACACTGTGGGAGTTGAACCCACGACCTCACGCAATCACACAGTGCGAAGCGTGCGCGCTACCAACTGTGCCAAGTGCCCTCGAAATCTTTTGCGGGGAGTAAAGGTCATAAGCACTGAGACATTGACAGCGAAAATGCGCAGCAACAAGTACTCTATGTGACAACGCTAACTCAGAGTTCACCCATACTTCGATAATGCTTCACCCTCACCGCCTCCGCAGACCGTGATTTGTTCGGCATAGACTCCCATATAGGATCCACATCTGGGCCGTCGATATCCCCAGCCCCATCCCAGCCCCAACACCACACTGCAACCAGGCGTCAGTAAGAGCACCAAGGCTGAAAAGTGCTCGCATCGCTTACCGTGTGATGGTCCAGGGGCAAAGTTGATCTCCTCGCTTTCCTCTGGCGTGAATAGCCGATCGTGTGGTCCAAACCATGATCGGTCTTGCGGGTCTGTCCGTGGATTGTCGGGAAGACCCCCGAGGCGGACATATCCTCGTATTGCAGTCAGATTTCGACGTGCAGGATGTATTATATCAAACACTTTCTAGAGGGTGGTCAACACACGAGGCCAGCTGAAGGATCATCATACTTGCCTTGTCATAAGCCAACTTAACCCTCGGCACCATCATGATCCTCCCGTACCCAGCCTCCCAATAATCGTTGCATATTAGACTGCACTCTGATGCAGAACATTCCTGCTCCAAAAGCTTTGCCATACGGAACCGAACATATGGCGGCGTGTAGAAAGGTGCGGGATCGAGCACAGCGACCCCGTTCCAGCACGATTGCACCTGGACGGGGAGGTGCATCTGGAAGCGTTCCGACGAGGCCGGGTCGTGGAAGATGGACTCAAAAGGTGCGTTCTCAAGTGCTGTTCCATTAATGTCACGCGCAACCCAATTGTCGTAGAACACAGGCGAACCCTAGGGGAGAGTGAGTTTACGGGTGTACCGACAAAGAGCAGGTTCGAGACTCACAATTTCGTCGTGATACATGTAATCGGCAGCACATGTGATACCAGCATTGTTTCGTCGACTTTGCCAGATAAGCTCGAGGAGGTCGTCCACGCAAGGAAGGATGTCGTTCATGAAGATAATCGTGTCAAAGTACTCGTTCTGAGCATCCCGCAGCTCGTGCAGGGGATTGAACGCCTGGTTTCGCACCTCTGCGAGGTACTCGATCCGGTGGTTGAATGCGCCCCTCGTTCTCGTTGACGTGCGAATAGTGACGCGGAGGCCCACACTCCGTGTCAGGGCGTCAAATATGCGAAGCAGCGCCTTCGTCTGGTCAGTAGAACCATTCTCGTATATTGACACGTAGACATTATGGTACCCCAGGATGGCGGAAACGCGGAAAAGGGTCGCGAACAGATCGGGGATGATGTCAAAGGAGTTGTACAAGTTGATCGCGAAAAAATACTTATGCTCCTTGGTTTGGACACTGTGGACATGCTGGGCGCTCGAAAATCCGAGCGAGGAGAACCAGGAGGACTGCGAAGGCGGTTTGTGCCCGACGAGGGATGCGTAGCGCTCGCGTACTTGCTGAACATACAAAGGCTGCGAGTTTCGCGTGCATTCCGTCGTGTGGTGTGGAGAAAGGGTGGAGAGGAGCTCGAGAACGCGATGGCGTTGGTCGACGGTGGGGAGCGTGAACTGCTTGCGGGCAGATAGGCGTGAAACGAATATTGGGCGGTTACCACTTCTCCAGGGTGATAGCAGCTGAGAAAATGAGTCTTAGCATGCCCAGTCATTCGACCCGGATAGTAGGACATACCCCAGTTGGAAGTGCCCGTCCGATGATTAGTCCAACAAGGAGTCCAACTACGAGCGCGAGAGGGGTGGGTACCCGTCGCAGTTGGGTCCATATGGTCTTCGGCCGCATGGCAAATCAAAGAAACGAGTAGCTCGAAATATAGACGTGCCCAGTGCTACTAGCGTTCAGTGAGTTGGGTTAAAAAAAGTTCGAGGAGGTGGGTGCAACACTTGGCGATGATACAGTGTTAAGGACTGAAGTTCTCTTGAAAGTTGGATTTCTCGACCTCCTCTGGCGGTGCGTTCGTGGAGGGATATAGATACAGAATGGCACAGACTCCGTCGCGGTATTTGCGTCGGGCGTTAGCTTGGGAGGTACAATATTAGAGAACACTGAGGCCGAGACTCTCGCTTCACTGTCTTTCACCCTCATCGCCACGTGGACCTCGGCGAATTTAATATGTCACGGTGCTCCTAGGTCTTGATCCTGAGCTCACAACGTAAGGACGGGACAGCAGAATATATTTCGCTACAAGATTAACACCACAGACACTGTAAGATGGTGAATATCGTCTAGAGGTACACCAGCTTCAAAAACCCTGGAATCTAACGTATACAAATGGAAAATGGGTATGTAGTCCAGCTGAGGATCGAAAAGCAGCAGCGGTCGGAAAGGAAGGTGTCCCGCGAGTTATGTACTCGCAACGGACAAAGAAATCGAATGTGATAAAGTTATTGTTTTTAGCACGGGCCAACCGACACTTTATAGCGTCGCAGCCAACGCGACGAAGGCGGCTGCACCAGCAAGAGCGTTGATTCTTTTGGACGCAGCGCCGTTGCCTGAAGGTGATGGTCTGTAAGGCAGCTCGTCAGTGTCAATGGGTGGAGAACAAACTGCACAGGAGACTCACGCAGCTGCAGCACTAGAGGCTGCAGAAGGAGACGTCGAGCCAGTAGCGGCAGGGGTGGAGCTGAGGGTGACACCCTTCACGAATAAAGTCAACAAAGGAAAGAGAAATGGATCTGAGGGCACTCACCACTGCTAGACATAGCTGCTGTGCAGCTGACTCGGCGTTGGTCAAGTCCGAGCCGGTGCACGACGATTGGATGCACGACGTTGAGCTCTGGATGAAGGTCTGGTTGTTGCAGAGACAAGTATCATCGTCCGGGGCGCATCCGCCGAAGTTAGCGTCCGTCAAGCAGGGAACGGCACAGTCTGATAATAGGCGACTTGTTAACCATGTTTCTCCAACAAAGAAAGGTACGGATACGAACTTGGCAGACCCTGACGAGCAACGACGGCTGCAGAAGCGGTGGAGACAGCAGCGGACAAGGCGACGAGGGCGAATGTGAAACGCATTGTGTATGGCAGGTGGAAGCAGCGGGGGTGGAGATACTAAAGCGAAAGCGAAAGAGCGAATGCAACAGAGATGGAACTCGGTAAGCTGAGGGAGACCAGTGCAACCGTCGACGCCTTTATACTCCCGGCAGCGATAATAGTAATTCGAACACACTACAAATATTATGCAAACAAAGGCGTTGGCGTGGCATCAAAAGTCTCAAATACCCAATAGCGAAGCGGCTTGCGCGTGAACCTCTGGGGTGGCATTGTTCTAGTTTAGCATTCAAGGAACCTCAGCCTGATCTTGTGGGCCTAGATTCAAGATGCGCACACACTTTCTTTATGAGCACATGAATGGGCGGGGAACTATAGGCTTCAGAGGACCATGAAGAATGGGAACCCGGGGACAAAGGGAAACCCTCGCACAATCGAACAAGGATGTCGGCAAGGTTCTTCCAGGAACCAAAGAACAAAGGTGTCCATGACTAAATTTGGAAATAATGGTTGTATCCCACGTGAATGCTGAGGTTCTCCCCCGCGGCACTGCTGTCACGGCGACAGCCGAAGAACTGTAAAGCACCAGTTCAGCCACCAAAGCCTATTGACACTGTCGCCACAGCCCAAACAAGGCCAAAGGGAAGCGGGAAAGCTACGAGTAAATCTATCGTACGTATCTGCACATCGACCTCGACACCCTCAAGACATGGTGCGTAACTATGATGCTGTGTCCAGTGAAAGAGACTTATGTTCCCGTTTGCTAGGCCAGAACAAAAGGCACCAAGGTCCGTTTCCTTGTTCAGTCTTAATGCATGTCCAATCTCAATAGCTCTGTCTACTACCCTCAGACCGGCGGCAAGCGCTCTGCCCTCCAAGATGTTGTGACCCGGGAATACACCATCCATCTCCACAAACTCGTTCATGGCCGGTCTTTCAAAAAGCGCGCTCCATGGGCCGTCAAATCCGTCGTTGAGTTCGCACGCAAGTCGATGGGGACGTCAGATGTGCGATTGGACCCCAAGCTCAACCAGGCTCTGTGGGCACAGGGCATCAAAACTGTCCCTCACCGGATAAGAGTTAAACTTGAGAGTGAGTGTGATTTATTGTACACGCGCGAGGCTCTGTGGAACAGAGAGCTCCTGGAGTTTCCCTCGGAAGCTGATCTGATGGGCTTATTATCGACAGGGAAGCGTAACGACGAGGAGAACGCGAAGGAAAAGCTCTACACTTACGCCAGCCATGTCCCCGTTACGTCGTACAAGGTACTGTGTAACCCTGCACTCGTATCGACCTTGCATCTCACCAAACGATGACGCTAGGGTCTCCAAACTGTGGTCGTGGACGCAGAGTAGGGGATTATATGAATCGCGTTTTTCAGAGGCCGGTCGAAGGGGTCTATGTACTCAGTCTTCACTTCATGCAGCTATGCATCATCACGCGCTCAGCACTCTATGCCATGTCGAGCAATCCAAAGCATATTTGCGGTGGAGAATAGCAGCGAGATGTCCGCGTGTCCGCAGGTCACTTGGGTTCGGTGGCACGCGCTGTAGCCAGCGGATCCACGAGCAATCGGTAGATCTGAAGATACATTGAGCGCAGCCCGCGAAGATGGAATCCTCCATGTGCACAGCCCACTGCGGCTTCATTCTTTCCAACCACAGTTATCACCCTCTGAAATTTCTTCTCGGCGACTCTCAGAAGCAGTTAAATACTTGAATAGAGGTTCACCTTCACAAGGGTGTTTAGATTTAGGCTTGCAGATCCCCTGTGCATCGTCAGTAGTGGCGTGGGAACTATCACGCTACCTGCGCAGTACCCTGTGTTCAGAGCACAGGCCTTCCGAAACCCTTATTGTACCTACCTTGCCCTTAAACCCCTTCACGAACGCTACGCCCCAGTACAGAGTACAGAGAGTCCAGCATCATGAACGCAGCCAGACGAGCTCCCCCCCAAGGTGCGTGATATGAGAAAGAACTCTTGAGA